TAGGCCTCAGAGCCTGTGCCACAGCCTAAGCCTTAACACCTACACAGCTATTTTTAGCACATAATGCAAAGCCCAAGTCTGTTGACCTGAGCTTGGAGACTCACTGCTGTGTAGATGTACTCTCTGGGGCTGAAAAAGTAACAAACAAACAAAATCCACTAATTTGTCCAAGACGACTTTCTGTTGACTTCTGTGGGCATTGGTCAGACCTCCACACTCCAAATAGTATCCAATCTTTTATGCATCAGAACTAGTTGAGTCCCCTGATGAAGGGGTTATTTTAGCACAGTGCACTATTAGAAATCCCATCCATCCATCCTGAAATGGATTTAAATGAAGGCCAGTTGAGTTGACAGTTATTTTAGCCTTTAGGGAGAAAAACTTTCACAGCAGCCTCTTCAGATGTGGAACCACTAAACAGATGGCTGGATAAATATACTTTTGCACATGTATCTACTAATGTAAAGGTCACGGTGCAAACATTGTCAAGAAGAACGTCAAGAACATAATATGGATTTAGAGCATTCTCTGAAACATTAGAGTTCCATACAAATGGAACATCTTGGGAAAGATATAATCCTCCTCCTCCATGACTTAAAACTGTACCCATTTTTCCTTAATGGCAAGATAAGAAGCATGTCTCAGCAAGAATAAATAGAATTATATTATTGTGTCAAATTAGCAACTCTGGAGTCAGAAGGCATTTCCATTATAAGCCCCAAATTTTCAGGAGCTTATCACTTCCCTAAACATTACCTTCTGGACTGAAATGGCACATGCATATTCTCAGACCTAAAATTGATTTGTTGGATTAAAAAAAAAATCAATTTGGCATTATCTTAACATGAATTAAGAGTATTTTGCCCCAGTCACAATTTTTTTTAAATCTATATTAATCAAGGGGACAGCTCCGAAATGGCCTTTTAAAAATTTGACCTGAATACAATTTTTCATTGTATTGAAAACACTAGAGCTTTACTGTTCTACCGTCCTGGTAATATCACCTACAGACTCCTGACTAAGGCTTTGTAACAACCATAGAAGAAACTTCCCCCAAATAATTCTTTCCAAGATATCCACTGAACCTCAGTACATGCTGGGGCAGGTCTTTGGGAGTTTAGTCAATGGTACATCAATACTTGTGCAGGGCAGATAGACACATTATGTGCTTAATTGATTGTGACTACTGAATCTCAGTGACTTAGTTTAAGGAAGGAAAACAAAGATAAGGGGACTCTTTTCAAAGTTACAGTTTTTTTATACAACTGTGACAACTACTTTGAGTCTGAGGGAAGCCATTAAACAGACTCCTAGAAATGTAGGACTGGAAGAGGCCTCAGTAGGTCATCAGTCTAGTTCCTTACACTGAGGCGGGACTAAGTATTATCTAGACCATCCCTGACATGAGTTTGTG